CTGTAGGGCATTTTGAGGCATCAAGATTGGTGAATTGATTAGTCAGTCCTCTTGGCATATTTGGGACTCAGGCAGCACACAGTCAGGGTGGAGAATGGGCAGGGAAGTGTTACAACACAGGTCTGGAACTTCCAAATCTCACTAACACGATAAGAGAGTCAGAACCCTTAGAATACGGACATCTTACCCCACCATTGTTGAGATCAGTTCTACTTTCAAATTCACAAATAAGATCTTATTAACAAACCGAAGCAGAAGCTAGGGGCTCCTAGCTTAAGGTAATTCTAAATTAAGGTAATTCTACCTGAATCTCCAACATAGCATTAGATGCAAATTTCATTCTATGATAAGAGATTATTTTAAAGTAACTTCAATGAAACTATATAATAATATTAAAATGTAAAACACAACTAGAAAGTGATATGATTAAATTATAAGAATTAAATAATACACATGTACCAATTATAATGGGAAAGCACATGCCAGCTTGCTATTGGGCTGATCCAAAGTTCCACCACTGGGAAGTCTTCTGGTAAAATGACTTGCCCAAACCTTTTTCTAGGTTTTGCCTTCTCTAAATTCTCTCTGTACCTCTTTTGGTGGGCCTCTGTTTTTCATAGAATGAATGCATTCACCAGCCAGCAGCCAAACTCTGAGAAAAGTATGATACACAGACTCTATCTTCCTGAAGTTTACATTCTGGTTGGCAATACAAGATGTATGCACAAGAAACATTTGAAGTGAGTGTGTGATTAGGAGTCTGAATTGATCCTTGAGGGACTAGGAGCTGAAGTGGGGCAGTGTGGTTGAAATGTTTGGGAAAGCTTGGGTTTGATGGGTGGATATGATTTGCAAAGGAGGAGGGAAGATTGTAAAAGTAAAATAGAGAGAAGAAGGCAAAATAGATTGGTTATACAGCATTAATGCAGTGAGAAGAAGGGATAAAGGAATGAACCCAGAATGTATTCATTCCATAATTATTTACTGAGTGCCTACTGGAAAAATATGGCAGTAAATGTGATAAGGGCTTGGCTTTCATGAAGCTTCCATTCCAAATGTGATGAGGTAGACAATAAACAGAAAAATGAAGTAAACAAGATATTTTTAGGAATGTGCAGTTAATGAAATAAACAAGGTGATAGAGACAGGGAGGTGGGGGTGGGGTGCACTCAGATGCATGTGAATCTCCCAGGGATCTTGTTAAAATATAGATTCTCATCCAGAAAGTCTGCAATGGGCCTGAGAGACTGCATGTTCAAAAAGGTCCTAGGCACTGCCGAAGCTACTGGCCCTTAAATCACACTTTGAGTAGCAAGGCTGTGTGATCTGAGAATTTGGGGGAAATGAGGTTGGTTGGAGCACAGGAATCCTGGTAGCTCTGGTGGGGTGGAGAGCAGGAATGAGGAGAGAGATTTGGACCATACTGAGGTGGGCCTAGAATGCCAAGATTAAGAGACAGGAGTTGAGCAAGAAGGCCAGTGTTGAAAATGTGTAATGCGGCAGGTGCAGGCAGGAAGGAGTCAGCCAGGCCTTGCCGACTCATCACGTCAAGGCGCACGCAGAACCTGAGGCTATCACTGCACAGTGGGGAAAAGGGGACTTCTGCTTGGGGACGAGCTGGGCTAAAAGAACAAAAGACTGAAGACATAGGATTACAGTGATCCAGGAGTGTCACCAGAAGCCCCTTGATGGTGGAAGGCAAGGCCTGAGCAGGAGAAACACCTGAACAAAAAACTTTTTTGCTCAGAATATTTTGATCGGTTGTACATTGTGAAGAAGGAGGATGGTTTTAGATGGTGGGGTGGAAACAATCCCGGGAGACCGCTGGACACACATGCCCCGCACTCCAGTGAGAATTCTGCCCAGAAGATCAAAATTTTAAAATCAAATCCTAAGAGTTTAAGATGTCTAAATAGGAAATGCCTTTCAGGGCAAGATTATGAAGAAAAAAGAGAAGATTGCTAAGGACCAAGCTCTGGGAATACTTACAGCCCATGGGAGGAAAGAGAGCACATGAAGAAGGCAGGGAGGGGCTGGTGGGGAATTTAGGAAGATCGGGAAGTTGTTGGGGGTAGTGCCTGTCTGACATGCGCACTGGACACTGCGATGACAGGACTCTGACTGTTTCACGGTCATTGTAGACAGGCCCACAGTGAAGGCAGGTCCTTAGTTCTCCCACCACTTTGCCCCCCACCCCAGCAAAGCTCTCCATCAGACCACAGTCAGGTGGCCAAGCATTGCCACCTGAGAAGTGTGCCCTCCATTTCCGAGGGGGAGGGGGAGGAGGGACGGGAATGTGACCAGGAATAGGAGAAACTTCTTACCAGCGCCGAATCTGACCTTACACATTTAACTACGGCCCCAGAAGCCCAAAGTTCTCCCCAGGATGCAATGTTAATATGCTCGCCAGAGGACCTTCCCTTTCTTTTTGCTTGTACTTTTTATAAAAGTTGAGTCCTAAAAAGGGTGAGTTATGAAGGGAATTACATCTTTTAGCTGTAAACTTAGAATGAGAACCCAAGCTTTTTGATTTTCAGAGTAGTGATACTTTAATTGCAATTAAAGTACACAGGGACAAGTGTTAAATATAGAGAGTATATATAGCATACCTCGACCTGAGTCGGTGGGAGACTTAGTTTTTGCATTCATTGACATTAATTTTCAGCCTTTCTGGATTCAGGACATAAGGTGACATTTTTATGTTTACTGTATTCCACATGTTATGAATATGGGAAAACCTTTAGTGAATATTCCAGGCAGCTCCTCACTGAAATACTAGGTGGCAGTCTAACACTAACTTTGGGTATTTAGAACTCCTGTTTGGCTACAAAATGGCATTTTAACAGAATTTTTAAGAGATTTTTTTAAAAAAGAATAACTTCAGGGGGAAGGTTTACAGAAGTAAGTGATGTATGATCCACTTGAAAACTACCTTTCCCCAAACCATATTTTCAATTAAAAATTACACATGTAATTGAATGAGATACTCAACACTTAAGACCTAACAAAGAAATAAACAAAGGACGTAAATAGATATTTCACAGGAGAAGAAATACATATGGCCATGAACATATGCAAAACCCTTAAACTCTATAAGAAAGGAAATCCAAATTAAGGGAGAACATTTTTATTACTCCTATAAGAAAGGAAATCCAAATTAAGGGAGAACATTTTTATTACTTCTCAGTTTGACAGAATTATTTTCAGAAGTTCTATCCTGAAGAAAAATTAGAGATGGGGGGTTAAAGATTTATGCATAAGCAACTTCCTTGATGTTTTCTTTATAATCTAAAGACTTTAATGCTTAGAAGCTCATATTTCTTAAAATGGGATATTATGCATTCTTAATTAACAGGAGTTTAAAGCTTAGTTAGCCGCTAACAAAATTATGTTAATTATGGCCAGTTAATATAAACATGCAGACACCTAATGTTCAAAAACATGCAGAGAAGTGTAAGTTAACCCTTGTTCGAAGGATGGAGTTTGTGGTACGGTTTTTGGGTCTTCAAGAGAATTGATTAGATCTAACTATGTCGAGCAAGGTCAATGTCTGGGTAGATGGTGAAGGAGCAGAATCGTAATTAAACCGATCACTGGTGGCTCCCCTTAGCTGCAGCTGGGTAGCCGAACTGCACGGGCAGCAGGGGGTGGGTATCCAGATCCCTTCCTTAGACTTTTCTAGAATCATCAAAGTGCATGTTGCGGGGCCTTAATGCAACACCCAAGGCTGTCTTCAGCTCATAGATTTTCCAGTGGCAGCGGAGAAGGGGGGGTTTCAGTAAAGTAGAAAGAAACCTAAATCTCCCTCCTGATTGATGATTAAAATATCATCCTCTGTATATATTTTGCCTCATCGTCATATGTATTTTTAATGTGCTTTCATTTTTTCTGTCTTAACACATTCTTTCCTATGCAACATGTTATTTTTTGTCAAAAGCAAGAGATTATAATTTGGCTTGCTGTTTGTTTCATGTGATGATATGGAATAAACAAGACTAAGGAAAAATCAATAGAATTGTCTGGCTCAAGACGCTGCTTGTTGCATTCTGCTAGAAATATATGAATTGTTAACTTTATTTATTCACTTAATTTATTGATTCAATTGCTCATTGCCTTTATTGTGGAAATAGTAGGTAAAAATGAAGGAAACGTTTGGCAACATGTCTGACACATTGGCAACTGTAGAGTGTATGAAATATATCGACTCCCATTGTGGAATGCAGTACCCACTAATAATTTTTTCAAATACTTTAATTTTCAGATGAACATATTTAAAAAGTAAGAGCCATGTAGGGTCCCAAATTAAAAACATAGCTATAATCTAAACATAATGAAAATTCTGGGGCTTTCATATCACACACCTGCAAGGTAACTTGTTGACAGCCTGCTTGGAAGGCAACTCTTGCTGTGACTCTGTTTTCAGCCATTTTTATTTATTTATTTTTCCTGTGAATTGCAGAAAAGCTACACCAAGATGCTCATGAATAGCGCTCTTCTAGGTCCTGTCCTTTGACAAGGAAACAGACTATTAGACCCGTAAGCTCTGCAAATTTTACCATAATTATAAAAACACGTCAATAACCATGAGAGGATTTTTCTGTACCACCGAGATATTTAGGCACGTCCTATTTCCAGGCTTCCAGCCTGCAGATGAGGTCTTACCCTTTGTGTAAGTGACAATACCACTGACCTATTATAATTATTTCCATGGAGAATCATAGAATATTCCATGGGGGAGGAAACAGTGGAATTGTCCCCCTGAGTCCTCTCATTTCACAGATGAGCTTGCACATTCGAGTGTTTTTTCCAGTACAGGTCAAAACCTATTCTAATGAGACTGATGAAACAACAGATTTTATTGCAATGGAATACAAAGGAAGCTTATAATATTATTCATTATTTTTAACATTTGTCTGCTTGAAACAAATGTGTAGTTTGCCCCTTATTTGTACAACGAGTAGGGTGGGGAGGCGAGGAGAAGCTACTAGATGGGTTTTAGCAAATGCAAATTTGGAGGGAATCTGGAGCATCAGGGAGGGTAAATGTTTGTATTTCTTGGACAATTATATTTCGGTGCAATTTGAGATCATCTAAACAAAAAAGCTCCTGTTGTGTAAAGGTTTGCAGACTTTCTCTTTTGTTTGTTTGAATTTACTTACTTGGGTAATCTTCGTGTGAAGGGTTCTTATAGCATGAAGGTCCCGGGTTATCTGTTGTTCAGGGTTATTTCTTGTGATTCTTCTACTTTTTCAGAAACATAGGAGATGAGCTCCATTTGACTTCATGGTGTCTCAGTAACTTCAGAAGCTGTGAGACCACCTGAAGGGACCACTGGATCCAGCCTTCTCATTTGGTGAGAAGGTCAAAATCTGGGGATGCTGTGTCCAAGGTCAATGGCAGAGCTGAAACTAGCACCAGGGTCTCTTGCTAAGAGAAACCTAAGTGAGACCGTTTCTCTAGTACGTCATTCTCACCTTGCAGGTATTTCCTCTTAGTGATTTAATCAATATGCCAGCTATCTTCTCATAGGGACGGTCCTACGGGGAAGATCTGCCTCTGGCAATGGGGCCGCTGTCAGCACTCACTGTCCCTTTCCGGAGTGACTGGAGCCTTACCCCAATCCATTTTCCCTCCCTACCCCCTTCTAACAGGTAGAGAGAGACAAAGCACTCTCATCTCTCAGGGGGCACAAATTAACAACTGCTGAGCCCGCTGGTGATTGTTAGCGGAAGTTCCTGGTCACCAACCTTTTCCCAGGAAAAGCTGTTCTAGAGTCTCCAAGAACTACCTGACACAGGGATCCAGATGGGAACAGGCTGCCTTAAACGGATGAAGGGTGAGTATGAGGAAGTGGGGGGCACAGGGTTCAGGGTGCTTGTTTCAAAGCTTCGCTTTCCCACCTGGGCAAGCTACCTATCTCTGTATCTCAGTTTCCTCATCTGTAAAATGAGGATGACTAGCAATATGTCCTTAATAGGATTGGTATGAGGATTTAATGAGTTAACACAAATAAAATATTTAAAACAATGACTAGTACATAGTAAGTGATCAATTAATGTTGGCCAGTACTATGAGTGTGTTTTTGTATATAAATAAGGTCATGTTCATTTTTAGCCAAGATGGAAGCCCAATAAATGATAGGGTTATTTCTGCACATGATTTTCTGTGTTCCAGCTCTAACAGCCTTTCAGTTCACAGAGCAAGCTTTTTTCTGGCCTGCCCAGGGACCTTGCATATACCATTCCCTTTGACTGTAGGAGGGGTAGTTTCCTCATTTTCATTGTTTGTTAGATCCTGTTTGGCCTTCAGATCTTAGAACCAGCATTACTTCTTCAGGGGAAGCTTCCTTGACTCCCTAATACTTCGCTATATATTCTCATTGCACCTTCACATGGGACCGTAGTCATCGCACTTATAACTGCCATGATTTTACATGTATACGCACGAATGTTTGAACCTAGTCTACCTTCCCCCCTCGACTGTACACTGCATTAATTAGCATACAGATTTTTTCTGCTTTTGCTGGCCATTGGCTCATCGTAGTGCCTGCACAGTATGGTTCAACTGCAGGTGTGCAATAGTTCTTTGTAAAACAAATGAATGAATAAAAGCAGGTCTAATAGAGTTTTCAACCTGGGATTAAATTTGATGATAACTTGGGTATGATATTGAATTCTCCAGAAGGGCAGGTCAAATAGGAGGATGGAATGAGATGAAGATTCTCCCAGTGTTTTGTATAACCTGTCATGTCAGATAAGGCTCCACAGACAAGTTGGTCTTCAAACCCACAAAATCAGAAGGCATTTCTCCTTTTTGTGAAAAGGGAAAAATTAACTTCGTAATTTTATACTAGGTAATAGCTAATATGCAATAAAATGCATGATTTGAAGTGCACATTTCAACAAGTTTTGTTAAATCTATAACCTCCATAATCAGCACCATAAGCAGAGCTATTCTGTCCGTATCTCCTGCCATTGTCTTAATCAGGTGTGTGTCATTCCTCATTAGTTTTCCTACCTCCACTCATGTTCTGCTTTGATCTATTCTCTTCCAGCAACTGGACTGATACAATGATTACAAATTCTGGATTATTTGATTTTACTGCTTAAAAGGCACCAGAGGCTGCCAACCATAAAAGAATAAACCCAAATACCTCACCATAACCTACAAGGTCCTGTGTGATCCGGCCCCTGCCCCGCCCCTGGCTTTGTCGTCCTCCTCTCTTCCCTTGGCACTCTGTACTTCTGCAGCACTGATCTTCCTTCAGCTCCTCGAACTTGCCAAGGTCTTTCTTGCTGTAGTCGCTTAGATTGCAGTAGTCTTTTTCCACCTCTCATTCTTCAGGTCTGTGCTAAGCAGATAGATGCTTCCCAATGATGTCTTTGTCCTCATCCCTGGAAGGTGTGGGGTTGTTAGCTTATGTGGTAAAAGTAAGTGTGCAGATGTGATTAAGTTAAGGATATTAAGATAGAGTGAGTGATTCTCGTGGATTATTTGGGAGGGTGCAATGTAATCACAAAGTGAAAATAAGTGAAAGAGGCAGGCAGGAGGGTCAGAGTCAGAAAAGGGGACAGGAGGATAGAAGCGGAGGCAACAGGATTGCTGCCCTTGAAGATGAAGGGAGCCGCAAGCCAGGGACTGCAGGCAGCCTCTAGAAGCCCAAGCAGTGCGTTTCCCCCAGAGCCTCCAGAAGGAATACAGCCCTGCTGCCATCTTGATTTTAAGCCCCATAAGACTCATTTCAGATTTCTAACCTCCAGAACTGTAAGATAACACATTTGTGTTGTTTTAAGCCACTAAGTTTGTGGTTATTTCTCACAGTAGCCTTAGGAAATCAATACAAAGTCTCTGCTTCAAATGCCATTTTACGGGGACACCCTCGCCCAACAACCCTCTCTAAAAGAGAACCCCTCTCCCCCCATTATCCCTGCCTCACTCCCATGCCCACCCTACAGTCTCTACTTCAGTCTCTTGTTTGATTCTTTCACAGTAAAACTTACCCTTGGTAATCATCTTTTACGTACTTTCTGTCACCTCACCAGAATTAGTGTGTTCTTGGAGGGCAGGGATAGTATCTCAGCCAGCATCGCATCTTCAGGGCCTAGGGTAACCCCTGCAATTTTGTAATTAATGTGCTTAAGAAATGTTTCTAGGTGAGCCAGGTCTGTGCTGTCCAATACAGTAGCCACTAGTCGCATGTGGTTCTCTGTCACTGGCAGTGTGGCTTGTCCAAACTGAGATGGAGAATAAGTGGAAAATACTAAATTTCTAAGTCTTCATATGAAAAATCATGCAAAATATTGTTCAGTATTTTAAAACATACTAAAGATATGAAATTAACATCTTAAATATGTATTACAATTTTTAATTAAATTAAATTGAAATTATATTTGGACATTCTGAGTAAAGTAAATACATTATCTAATTTAATGTTAAGTTTTTAAAATTAGTTTCAGCTATTTCTCCTTTTATTAATATGGCTACTGAGAACATTTAAAATTATAGATATGGCTAACATTGTATTTCTACTAAATACTATTAAAATTTATATTTTAAATTTAAAACTAATATTCTATTAAAAAATCATATTTTATTCTTCTTTGTATGACCTTAAATGATTTGCCCATAGCAGCTTCTCAATAATGTTTGCTGTCTGAATATTTTTTAAATAAGTTACTTTATTAAAAATATGCATTGTTGTATCAATGCATAAAATTGGCCCAAAAGAGAAGCTTTTTATTCAGCAATTTTTTAATTGATTTTATTTCTGGTTACAATGATATTTTTTACCCAATATAGTTTCTAGTTGCTTTAAAATTAACATTATTAATATGTGTTATAAATCAGCAACTGGAAATAGAGCTAGATGGCAAATGTTATTATGTTAGACATTCTTGTATTATTTGGCACAAAGGAATTCTATTAGGGACACAGCTTTTTCCTAAGAACACCTACTTTCTTATGAAGCATTAAAGCCTTATCTAAGAAAATCCATTGGACACTGCTTCTCCGTCACTGTCTACCAATCATTCTGAATGCCCAAAAGGGGGAAGGAACACTCATGAGTTGGGAAGTGGAGCATTTAGGACCTAGCCTAAGATCATGTCCAATCCCAGCTTCCTGGAGTTTTCTTCAACATCTACTATTTTGTCTTAACAATTCATGACACTATTATATCTTACTCCATAAAATTTGTCTGTAGTTGTACCAGTATACAAATAATGCTTTGCAGTACAAATCTTCAAGTAAAATAAATGCTCTGTTTTTCTCTGAGGCTGCTTGTGCTCTGAAAGCACTGCCACACCCAGTGGTGCCGGTGCCCTTTCAGAAGTACAGGATCAGGACTGATGTCCTGAGTCCTGAAGTTTGGGGGCTTCGTAATAGGGCTGTAATGGCAGTCGGTGAGCTGTGAGCTGGGTATACACGCTGGGGAGAGGATGATGGGGTTCTGCCTTGGTTGATGAGGACGTGGAACAAGAACAAAAACTCAACAGAAATTTGCAGACCAGCTTGAGACCTGAGTTTATTACCCAGACAAATTGACAGATCAACCCTGCTTCGAAAACCAGCCTTCGCTTCGTCTCCTGGCTTCAGGCTGCCTTTCGAGATGGTACATGTGTGCCTGTGTGTGCGCCTGCGCACGCTCATGTTTGTATGTGCATACACCCTGTAAAGCAACACCGGGAATCCAGTTACTTATGTAAAAGTTGAGGGGAAGGAAAAGGCAATGTTATTTTTCTAGATTTTCTCCCTGGCCTAAATCCACACAGAGATAGCCTGGCTCATCCTCCTTATTTGGGTAACTGGCCATACACTGTATTATTGAATCCCCATTTCAGCCCTTTAAGGTAGAGGTTAGTTATTGCCATCTGACAGATGCGCAAACGGAGCCTCAAAGAGATTACAAAGTTTGCCCATAGTCTATTCAGCCTGCAAGACACTATGGGTTAAGAGATTGGCTCTGTGCTGTTCCCATTACACTTTTCTGCCTCTCCAGCAGGTTTCAACTTGATTCTACAATTTCTTTTTAGTTCCTCCTCTGTCCCAGGGACCATGCTGGACTTCAAAGAATATGCAAAGATGAATAAGGACATGTTCTGTGTCAGCTTCCAGGCCGGAAACTTTCCCTCTTCATGACACTCAAAGCAGCATGGAAGAAGGATGGTAACTATTGAGACCTGAGTTTATTACCCAGACAAATTGACAGATCAACCCTGCTTCTAACCAGCCTTCGCTTCGTCTCCTGGCTTCAGGCTGCCTTTCGAGATGGTACATGTGTGCCTGTGTGTGCGCACGCTCACGTTTGTATGTGCATCCACCCTGTAAAGCAACACTGGGAAGGATGGGGCAATTCATTGCGAGTAGCCTAGAGGTAAACATTTCTTCTTTAACATTAGCAGATGGTGAATGAGGCAACAATGTCTACACTAGAAACAAAACAAAAGTAATAAAAAGAATTGGTACTTGAATAGAAAAGATGAACCACTGTTCCTGCAGTTCTTTGTCTCAATCATTCAGTAGAACAGAAAAAAAAAATCACTTCATAAATCAGTCAAAGCTGGTCTCATTCTGCCATCCACAGAACGTGGAATTACTTGCTTAGACTGATAAATGGATGTCTTTGCCAGAACACTGTCACCAAGGCTTATATAACTTACAGTGCAATTATGACTTACGTCCTAGAAAGGACTTATTTATTTTAGCTTATATCATCTTTTCATTCTTGAAACATGTTCTTTATGTATTTTCTTTTGAAAACTGGAGTAGATGCCAATGTAGAAAGGAGCTTTTTTCTATTGCTGTAACTGAACTATAATTTTGAGAGTGACTGATAGGAAACGTGTTCATTCTTTGTATTTTATCACCAGAGGCCAGAAGCAAAGGAAAATAGCAACTTTGTTTTTATAAAATTAAGGCTAATCTGAAATTATGGTTGGAAATGCTAAAACCAGAATATGAGAGTGTACAGACCCTAAATTTGTCAGTCTGCAACAGATTGGTTCATTACATTTTAATCGTTAGGGTCCAAGGAGGATAGGCATGATTTATCTACATATAAAAATATGCATACATATATGGATGCATGTGCACACACAATACATATATACACATGCATATGCACAATACATATATACACATGCATATGCATCATGAATTTGTGCATCATCTTTGTGCAGGAGCCAATAAAAAATTGTTTGAAAAAAAGTTATATTTTAATCCTCTCAAAAAAGGCAAAGAGCTGAGTTTCCATTTTTGCTCTGTGTGTCCTATAATCTCAATTAATATCTCTGGGAAAGAAAGCTGAACTGCAGCAATAATGTGTAACTTGGTAATTGTGTACAAATGCCAAGTCATTTTCTAGGATTCCCAAAGGTTTTGATGAAAGCTGAACATTAATCTTGAAACCATTCATTTTCATTTTTTTTAACATGTGTGTTTTGAATCTTTTCCTTTTTCTTCTTCCATTATGACATATCCTCTTAAAAATGAAATTAGGAGTATAGCTTTCCATTGGGTAGTCATTCTACTCAATGTTCACAACTAAAGTAGAATGTACACATCTCATTCCCAAAGTCCACAGTAAGTGGTCTCAGTGGAAGTCAGGTATCAGTACCCATTTAGCTTGTGGCAGATTTGTAGCAATTTTAACCTAGAAGAATTATTTTATGCTTTTGTACATAATGTATCTTTTATGTTCCCAAGAAACTATTCTACATATTTCTTTGTCTAAATAATGAAAAAATAAAATTCTTTAGTAAGAATCTAGGCTTTATTCCCTTCTCCATTATTTTTAATTAAGGTATGGTTTAGAAAGGTGTATTTATAGTTTTTTTTCCATTTTCCCACACGTATAACCAACACCCCTTCACCTGTTTCGCTGTCCCCATGCCCCTCCTAGCCACCAGCCAACATACTATTGCTTAACTTAGATGTTCATTTATCTTTTTGTTTTTACTTATTTTTTAAAGACGATTTCTACTTGACACTTTTGATGGATTTTAGGTAGCAACTCAGAGAACAAAAAAGGAAAGTTTCTGTTGCTTTTTATTCATAGCCCAAGATAATCTATGTCAGGCACACTTTGTAGGTCATAGGAGTAGACATTACCTCTTGTCCTTTGGCTTATTTCCTTTCCATCCTTCTTATTTATGCCAAATGGAATATTATGGAAACAATAATTCAAGAAGTGTGGATGGATACAAATCAAGTCAATGTGTGATTTTCTTATTAAACATGACACTGTATGTCATGCTTGACTTTTTGTGTTGATTTCAATTTTTAAAAATCCAAATGATTTAGTAAAATAACTTCTCTCTTTTTCCAAACTCCCTTATTCCTAGTTGCTCTAAAGACTCCTCAGGTCCAGATTTGCCTTTCTCCCCAACCTAGTTCAGTGAAGCCCTTTTTCATTCCTCTCTCCCTTTCCTCCCACTTGTCTGATTCTGCCTGTTGCTCTGATTATTTGATCTGTTATGCATCATAAAAGCTTAGAAGAGGTTAGTAAAAAGGAAGCTCTTGGGTGGAGTGGAGGATGGGGAGATGAAGTTGAGAGACAAAGATAAAATGTTTTTGAGGTAGAAGTAGCATGGCACAAGTTTGGAACATCCACACATTAATTGTGTCCCCGTTACACTTAAATTGAGGCACCTAATTTTCCTTTTTCCCTGTAAACTTCTCTCCCCCGACTCCCAAACTTTCTGTCATTTCAAATTCTGGGACTGAAAACTATGGTTCCTGGTCTCCTTAAAGGACGTAGCCTACAGAGTTTGAGCAGACACACTATATACTTATATATACTATATATTTGTAGCAATTCTTTGCATTTTTATGGGTTGTATAATGAGACAAATCCCAAACAGAAAGTGGATATACCCATCCTGAGGCATAGCTTAGAAGGTAGGCTTTTTAAAGAAAGGCAAAGATTTTCTTGATATTCTATGTAGCATCTTCTAGTACATGCTGAGTATTCTATAAATATAAAATGTGAGGTATGATGAACCCACAGTTTCTGGCAATCTTATTCAGGCCTAAATGAATTAATTTTCTTAAACTTAGGTTTAAGAAAATCTTAAAATGTCTAATGTGTCCCTTTTAGGATTGAAAAAAAGTTAAAAGTTATTTATTTATTTTAAAAATATGGAATGCATCACGAATTTGCGCATCATCTTTGTGCAGGAGCCATGCTGATCTTCAATGTATCATTCCCATTTTTAGCATATGTGCTGCTGAAGCCAGCACTTATTTTGTTTTTTTATTGAGGTATTCTCTTTTAGGATTTAAACATTTCTGAAACTATATTTGGAGAAAATATAGCCACACACAGGGAAAGAAAAGTATGACTGGAAAACATTTTTTTAAACACATGGAAAATCTAAAAATTTTGTAAAATCAGAGATACAGTCAATTGAAAACAGCACCATTATGTCACAGATACACACACACACATACGTACAAGATGATGCTTGTCAGTTATAATGTACTTTATATATTTTAAAAGATTTGAGACTTAAATAGAAATGCATTTTTAAAAAAAATCATACTTCAGTTTTGTGTACCTATCGAAAGGAAAATGAGGTACAAATGGTTAAGGCTCTAGGTCACTAGGAACAACAAGTGAGTTCAAACCTGCACAGGGAATATGGTAACTCCTTTGCAGTACCACCCATCAGACAGCAATCATGAGATGCACTCTGGTCTCATAGATGTAAAATATGAAAAATGATCATTTCAGAATTTATTAGGAATGATGGGCATTTTATTAGATGCCAGACATCACGTTTTGATTGATTATTCTACAAAAAGGAATTACTGAACTAATCACTCGTTTTACCATTACATATCATGAAACGCTGCCTTACTCTAAAGTCCACTGGGCATGCTATTTTCCCTTATGTTACTTTTTTGTTGATTGCAGTGTCACATGGCTGAAAAAGTTGACTCCACATCTCAAGGGACAGGATAGTGCCCATTAACTATTAATTCAATTACTTCTAATCATGAGGATGATTGCACAGAGAAAGGAGCATGGGGTTTGTGCATAGGCAGCTTAGGTTTGAATTTCCACTCTGCCGCTTGCCAGGGGTGTGACTATGGCCACTCACATAGTATCTCTAAACCTCAGTCTTCTCATTTATAAAATGGAGATAATCTTACCTTGCCAGCTTAATGTGAATATTAAATATGATGGTATTTGTAAAATCCTTGACACAGTAAAGCCCTCAATAAATAATTGGGCTTAGAAAGTGTGCCTTTTCTTGCTTTCAATGAACAACCTGGCATGGGGACCTCCTCCTTGGGAGGTATTTTGGTACCTGTAAACCGATGAGCTTTCTGGATTCTCCCTTGAGCTGGCTCTTTACTGGTGGCTGAGGAAGGATTGCCTTTAGGAGCATGAATGGTGCAGCCATAGTACATATATATGAAAAAGTAAATGGTGAAATCTTAGCTTGTTTTCTGTTTGCAATGAATTTTTGCACTTAGAAGAACATTTCTGAAGAATTGGCTTATTGGAATACTGAAAAATTCCAATATTGTATATTGAAGTATTGGAAATACTGGTTCAAATCTCTTTTCTAAGTTCCATGAAGACCAGCATTTTACTATGAGGACTATAAGCCATAGACACCAGATTCCCTAACATCCCTAGAATTCTGATCAATAGGGCCTTATTTTCATTTCATGGGTGAATATTTACATATTTCTCATGCTTTCTCCTTATAAAGATGAGAGACACATGTCAGGGAAAAACAAAAACCCTGTCTCTAAGGGATAAAATATTGTATCAGATGTGTGAACGTGTTGGTATTCATTTAGGAATTACTATTATGTTACAGACCCTGCCAAGCATCATTTAAGCAATTGTCTTTTTTTTATCTAGTATCTATAATGCATTCTTCCTCATCACAACACATAAAAAGCTCAGCAATAATGTAGAGTTTATAGTACCAGAAGCTTCATTTTTTAGAACTAAATTCCTTATTTTCTTAACTAAAGTTGTGATAACGAGTGTTGCCGTAACAAACACAAATGAGATTAATGATCTTTTCCAGGTTTTTATCTGGCAGTGATTGCAAGATTGCAATTCCTTTTGGTTTGCCTCTGACAGGGTGTTTTTTCCCATTAGTCTAAATGAAGTAATGCAGAATTTACCTGCTTGGTCTCTTTAGACTATACAAATGGTGTCTGATATATACCATAGTGTATATCCGTGTTGAGAAGAGCTGTACAAATGTAAGGGAGTCTTTAAAAAAGGACTTGTAAATTCAATGTAAAAAAAAAAAGGCACAGATTTCTTGTGAATTTTTTACATAAATAATAAATTGATAAAAAATTAATTGCTTCCTCTAAATATAGTGTACATTATAGCCAGAATAATTCAGAGTTTGAATGTCAAACATAAAGTTATTTTATGTATATCTTGACTGACAGGCCTTTTCTTTTTTTTACAGCGTAGATATAGAAGACAGAACGACAGTGTATAGCTGATGTCACAGCTTAATTAAATAATTGCACTTTGGAGATTACATTGTCGGTTATTTGCAATAATTCATGCATTGCTGCAGCTAATTCAGGTATTAGATATGAGCTTCCAATTAAGCAGTAGCATTTGCCAACCTGAAGCATTTATTTAACCAAAGTTTTAATCAAATAATAGAGAGATCATAATGAAGGTGTTTTCTCCTGTATAAAAAAATGGTACCATCCATCGGTTGCTTCCAAGAAGCATGATATTACATACGATCATGAGATTACATGTATTTTCATTACTGTATTCAAGAACAATAGTTCAGAGTAAATATTTGCACGAATATGTTGTCATTTTAGGATTTCTTGAGGTGTACATAATTTCCTAAGGTAAATAATGGAAGGGTCTGCCTTCTTGGGTAACACAAAGCAGTGCTTGATACAGGTTTGATGATTTCACTTGTCTCTTTGATAATCCAAAACTGTCTTCTGTAATTATTCTCATCTTCTACCAAGCAAAGATAAAAAAGGGAACATGCTTCTTTCGCCTACTCCTAAAGAAACTCCATTATTTTTGGAAGTCCACGTGATGGTCTAAAGCCCAATCTGGGTTGAAAGAAGCAATCTGTAAGGACAAGCTTAGTGCGAGTCAAGAATGAAGTTGTTACCAGACAGTGAACTGCAATCCTCGCTTCTTATGAATATTTGAATGAGTAACTAAAAACAGCTCAGGAAACTCTAAGTGACTGTGACAGCTGAAACTGCCTGGAACCTCGGAGCCCACCAGGGCCACGATGTAAAGATCACCAGTTATCTTGTGTTCATCCTGACGTGGGTCTGCAGAGGGACAGGATCAGATCTGTTTTACTCAAATATAAGTTATGAAAAATCTGATTTGTCTCTGTACTTTCAAAAGCTAAACAGCCCCCAAATCTCTTGTGTTGTTTTGAATTCATTAAAATGCGGTGATTTCTAATGATCCTTTCAAGGAAAGAAAATGGCCATGTTTTTGCAGACCCTAAAATATTGATGTTGCTGTTGTTTTACTCATAGAAAATTGGCCCTAGTCAATCTTTCATGAATATATTTCAGCTTGCTCCAAGTGGGAAGAAAAGGAAAACAGAGGCCCTAAAGGCAGAGTTCTCTGAATAATTCTTCCCAAAGCTCTAATAAGAAGAGTTACCAGGTACATGGCCTGATTTATCTAAGCCCAGATAGTTTATTGCTTTTTAAAAAAAAAAATCAAATAAACTGCTGTTTTTGTTGAAGCTGAAAATTCACAACAGATTTTGTCACAGGGAAGAGTTCTTGAAACTCTATTTGTAGAGGATAAATTTCAAAAGAACACTAAAAGTTTACCCAGTTTTATTTGCCCTCCTTGGATATGTCAACAAAAGATGACTTACTTCAGTTATTTTCTCCAAGTTACTGAGAAATAAAGTAGTACACAATTTTCAACTTGATGTCTTTAACTGGAAGGAGAGAGTCAGTTATTTAGTTCCTCTAAGTATGTATAGTAAATCCTACTTAAATCCACTTAGTTCTGTGCATTTTGATGACTAGTGTAAGTAAATTGGACTCCTTGTATAGTCTATAAATTTCTAGTAAAGAAAGAGACTATACAGTATGTATATCTTGTGTAGAAATTGTTGCACTTTAAATCTAGCAACTAACTGAACATAAAAGCAAACAGAGGGGAACCAGAATGAGGTTGCCATTCATGCAGTGGTTATTTACAAAATCCCTATGAAACATGAAGTTTCAGTCTGAAAACCCCTTCAGAAAGTTCCAGGTGATAGTGGTTGTTGCCTTAACTGCTGAAGAGTTAGCAGGGACCACAGTGGCTATCTAGAAGGCCACTGCCGAGATCAATATCCTCATGGCTGGAACTGAGAAACGTATTTCCATCTCAGCTGTTAAGTAACAATTCCAGATCCTTGGAGTATCTGGACAATGGCAGCCAGCCCATGACTGCTGTCTCCTTTGTTTTTAGCTATGTGTGGACGTCAGATTGGTATTAGGTATTGCCAGCTTTTCAGTTTTGCAGGCAGGAAAAATGCTAAGAGACAGACAAAATGTCGTTCTTGTTTATGTTCATCCAGTGGAGAGGAGAGCCTTTAGAGGGACAGGAACTCTACAGAACAATGCTCGTCATGTCCATACTGGACACCTAGACTCCCCAGGTGAACCGGAACACAGGTACTCCGAAGTAGTGTGAAGAGATACAGACCTATATTAATATTCAAAATTAGTCAGATTTAATGCCAGTTGCAAAATCTCTATAGCCAACAGGGTTATGGGAAGAATACTGAATCAGAGGTCTGGAGTATTGCTCACTATGTGGCCTTCAAAAAGTCACTTCCAGGCCCTGGGCTGTTCTCCCTGCTGAGTACTGTAGTGCTACTGAATTGACTATTACAAAGGCAGTTCTTTGGAACAGAATGAACATAGCTTTTAGAGTCTGAACATCTGGGTTTGCATTCCCAATTCATGTCACTTAACCAGTTGTGTCAACTTCCTGAATAATCTAGTCTCCATTTTAGAGACATGGATAGTTCCTCTTTGTCAGGGTTTGTGAAGAAGAGGTGATAGACACGGAGAGCCTGTATGTGCAAATGCTCTGATAAATGTTAGTTTCCTCTCTCTCTTTATAGCTGTTTCTAATTTTAAATTCTGCAGAGTAACTGAGTAAGATAAAATCTTTCCTGCAATGCCTTTTAGTAGAAGTGGGATAGGTTTGTAACTGTTCCTGCCTCAGGGGTATATCTTGCACACTGCACACATGAAAGATTTAAAATTTAATGTTAGGGATGCCCAGGAAATATCAAGAGACAAGTAGGTTAAGAAGCGACAGTGTCAGTTGAAATCGTTAAATACAATATCCTTCATACTTTCTAACTCTTTTGTTTTATGGTCTGTGATGTAAAACTTTTATATCAGATGTAATATTTTAATTTCAAAGGTTATCACTGGGTGAGAGTTTGAAAATGGGAGTCATCTTCAAGGACTTATATGGTTGGACAATGAATATCCATTGCATTTTTCTTGCATTATATTGGTTTTCTAGACAAATGAAAAAAAAAACACACAACAACTGTAAAACAAGTGGTCTTACAAGTGGCCTCAGAAGACAAGAGAATTTCCAGCAGGAGTACAATCAGCACCTAGCAGAAATAAACTCTTAAAAGTTTACTTGAATGCATAGGAAAAGTCTCTTTCCAAAAAATCACCTCTTATTTCAAGTCTTATTAAAATGACTCTCAAGTATAAGACCGAGCAATCCTACTTTTAGATATTTGACCTGAAGAAATACCATCATAATAAAAGGAGTGGAGTTCATATGGTTAAGGCTGAATTTTTTATAACTAATTGAAAATGGCCATGTGATATTGCCATTAAAAAAAGCAGGTATATGCATGCAGATATGAGATGTCTAAGATTTATTCTTAGGTGAAAAAACAAATTACTGAGCAACAAGCTTAGTATGGACCCATCTGAAACAAGAAATATATAATTTTCATTTACATATGTGTATATAGATGTATCATGCAAAAATGTGTGCATTAGGCTAACAGAAAAATATTTTAAATGATACATGTGTAGCTGTTTGCAGTAATTACTCCCTTTAGATTTTTTTTAATGTAATTCTGTTGTGGTGTAATGTGTATGGGAAATGTAAAACTTTTGCAATTAGAAATTAAATTTAAATAGGAGTCTAGGTGGTGAAATGACTTGGAAAATCCACACATTACTTCTGTTCCTTTTCTCCCCCTACCAATTTAATGCTGATATGTTTTAAAAACTTAAGGTCCATATGTCAATGAATTCTTTCTTGGTGTTGGTTCTTTTTTTTTTTTTGTCCTGAATCTAATCCTGACGTCACTAGCTTTCTGTAAATCTCAGAAAGTCCATTTCATCCTCAGCTTTCTCATCTCCAAAATGAAAGTGTTTGAAATAAACCAGGGGGTTTGGCAGAGAAATGTCCTTACCACTCTGAGATAATTTGTTTCTGTTAAAACTAAGTAATTTCATGGTTCTTTGCTGGCTAATACTTCACCCTTTACATAAATAGTCCATTATTTTATTGGAGAGATAACCGACAATGATTTCATAATACTCTATTTAGTCCTGTTTTTTTGTTCTGAATATCCTGAATGTCAATCTGTGGGCCAGGAAAATCTCCAACCCTTCACAGTCCTTGCCTAAGGTGGACCTTCCATTTAAGGAATGGTGGCCCAGTGCATCCCCAAGCTTGAAGTGACAAATAGTGAGGATACATTCTGTTCCTGCTCACAGTCTCTGGGGCTGCTTGCCTGTGAAATGCGTGGCCTGTGTCTTACCGCATGGAGGGCCCCGAAACGTGGTGAGCAGATTCTGTGGGACACTGTGTCATGAACCCTTGTTTATTTTATTATTCAGCTGGCCCATGGCATATATTTGCAGCAAGCTGGCCTTTGAAGAGAATGCATTCTGAATAAAGGCCACCACGATTTGTTTGACCCCATGAAAGTTATTTTTCTGCTTCTGACCAGAGTGAGATCATGAATTACTCTCCTCTGAAAAATCAAGTAAACACTTTAAGGATCATCCACTGAGTGCAGGGGAGTGAGAGGCAGGGTGACGCTGTGCGTGCTCTGGGAAGCTTACATTTGCACTGAGGGAGACAGAGTGAAAACGAAATAAATCTACAGAAGCAGAGCACTATGTGACATTAAAAAAAAGCAGCAAAGATGAGTGTTCTGAATGGAGAGATATGGAGCTCTGTTCCAAGGAGTCCTGAAGTGGCCACTTGAGGGCTTGAGCGAAGCACTTTACCTGGAAACATATAAGGGGGAAAAGTCAGGGATTGTTATTATATCAGTTTTATAAAAGGATTTCTATGGTGATTTTTTGGTAAAGATATCTTAGGCCACATTGGATTGATTTGTACTCAGCAAAATAAAATAAGGTTTTCACTTTTATACTTCCAGCAGATTAATAGTGCATAGGTGCTCAGGCAGCCAGGAATTGAAGAGTGGCTCTTGGTGACGGTTGTCTTTTAAATGGGAAGAAAGATACC